TTTCCAGGAGGGTTTCATCTCCAATTTGGTTCCTAGCCTCCTGTTCTCAGCAGCCAGTTCCGGCACTTAGCACTTACTTGAGTTGACGTCTATAATCCACTCACCAGCAGAGATTAAGTGTGCAGGGCACCGCGAGCCGCTCCTGGCTGAACAGTCTTCACTTCACCAGCTTATACATGCACCATACTCAGGGCACCATACTCAGGGCACCATACTCAGGGCACCATACTCAGGGCACCATGCTCAGGGCACCATGCTCAGGGCACCATACTCAGGGCACCATACTCAGGGCACCATACTCAGGGCACCATGCTCAGGGCACCATACTCAGGGCACCATACTCAGGGCACCATACTCAGGGCACCATACTCAGGGCACCATACTCAGGACACCATACTCAGGGCACCATACTCAGGGCACCATAGTCAGGGCACCATACTCAGGGCACTATACTCAGGGCACCATACTCAGGGCACCATACTCAGGGCACCATATTCAGGGCACCATACTCAGGGCACCATACTCAGGGCACTATACTCAGGGCACCATGCTCAGGACACCATGCTCAGGGCTCCATACTAGGGACACCATGCTCAGGGCACCATACTCAGGGCACCTTACTCAGGGCACCATACTCAGGGCACCATACTCAGGGCACCATACTCAGGGCACCATACTCAGGGCACCATACTCAGGGCACTATACTCAGGGCACTATACTCAGGGCACCATACTCAGGACACCATGCTCAGGGCACCATGCTCAGGACACCATGCTCAGGGCACCATGCTCAGGGCACCATACTCAGGGCACCATACTCAGGGCACCTTACTCAGGGCACCATACTCAGGGCACTATACTCAGGGCACCATACTCAGGGCACCATATTCAGGGCACCATACTCAGGGCACCATGCTCAGGGCACCATACTCAGGACACCATGCTCAGGGCACCATGCTCAGGACACCATGCTCAGGGCACCATGCTCAGGACACCATGCTCAGGGCTCCATACTAGGGACACCATGCTCAGGGCACCATACTCAGGGCACCATACTCAGGATACCATGCTTAGGGCACCATACTCAGGGCACCATACTAGGGGCACCATGCTCAGGGCACCATACTCAGGGCACCATACTCAGGGCACCATACTCAGGACACCATGCTCAGGGCACCATACTCAGGACACCATGCTAAGGACACCATGCTCAGGGCACCATACTCAGGGCACCATACTCAGGGCACCATACTCAGGGCACCATGCTCAGGACACCATGCTCAGGGCACTATACTCAGGACACCATGCTCGGGACACCATACTCAGGGCACCATACTCAGGACACCATACTCAGGACACCATACTCAGGGCACCATGCTCAGGGCACCATGCTCAGGGCACCATACTCAGGGCACCATACTCAGGGCACCATGCTCAGGACACCATGCTCAGGGCACCATACTCAGGACACCATGCTCAGGGCACCATACTCAGGACACCATGCTCAGGGCACCATACTCAGGGCACCATACTCAGGGCACCATGCTCAGGACACCATGCTCAGGGCACCATGCTCAGGGCACCATACTCAGGTCACCATACTCAGGGCACCATATTCAGGACACCATGCTCAGGGCACCATACTCAGGACACCATGCTCAGGGCACCATACTCAGGGCACCATACTCAGGGCACCATGCTCAGGACACCATGCTCAGGGCACCATACTCAGGGCACCATACTCAGGGCACCATACTCAGGACACCATGCTCAGGGCACCATACTCAGGGCACCATACTCAGGGCACCATGCTCAGGGCACCATGCTCAGGGCACCATGCTCAGGGCACCATACTCAGGGCACCATACTCAGGGCACCATGCTCAGGGCACCATACTAAGGGCACCATACTCAGGGCACCATATTCAGGGCACCATGCTCAGGGCACCATACTCAAGACACCATGCTCAGGGCACCATACTCAGGGCACCATGCTCAGGGCACCATGCTCAGGACACCATGCTCAGGGCACCATGCTCAGGGCACCATGCTCAGGACACCATGCTCAGGGCTCCATACTAGGGACACCATGCTCAGGGCACCATACTCAGGGCACCATACTCAGGGCACCATGCTCAGGACACCATGCTCAGGGCTCCATACTAGGGACACCATGCTCAGGGCACCATACTCAGGGCACCATACTCAGGGCACCATACTCAGGGCACCATACTCAGGGCACCATACTCAGGGCACCATACTCTGGGCACCATACTCAGGGCACTATACTCAGGGCACCATACTCAAGGCACCATGCTCAGGACACCATACTCAGGGCACCATGCTCAGGACACCATGCTCAGGGCACCATACTCAGGGCACCATACTCAGGGCACCATGCTCAGGGCACCATGCTCAGGACACCATGCTCAGGACACCATACTCAGGGCACCATACTCAGGGCACCATACTCACGGCACTATACTCAGGGGCACCATACTCAGGGCACCATACTCATAGCACCATACTCAGGGCACCATATTCAGGGCACCATATTCAGGGCACCATACTCAGGGCACCATATTCAGGGCACCATACTCAGGGCACCATACTCACGGCACTATACTCAGGGGCACTATACTCAGGGGCACCATACTCAGGGCACTATACTCAGGGCACCATATTCAGGGCACCATACTCAGGGCACCATACTCAGGGCACTATACTCAGGGCACTATACTCAGGGCACCATACTCAGGGCATGGTGCCCATGTATAACAGAGGAGGGGTGTACATGAGGCGGTAAATACTAGGGGGTGTACATAGTTACATAGAGTACTATGGTACACATAGTTACATAGAGTACTATGGTACACATAGTTACATAGAGTACTATGATACACATAGTTACATAGAGTACTATGGTACACATAGTTACATAGAGTACTATGGTACACATAGTTACATAGAGTACTATGGTACACATAGTTACATAGAGTACTATGGTACACATAGTTACATAGAGTACTATGGTACACATAGTTACATAGAGTACTATGGTACACATAGTTACATAGAGTACTATGATACACATAGTTACATAGAGTACTATGGTACACATAGTTACATAGAGTACTATGGTACACATAGTTACATAGAGTACTATGGTACACATAGTTACATAGAGTACTATGGTACACATAGTTACATAGAGTACTATGGTACACATAGTTACATAGAGTACTATGGTACACATAGTTACATAGAGTACTATGGTACACATAGTTACATAGAGTACTATGGTACACATAGTTACATAGAGTACTATGGTACACATAGTTACATAGAGTACTATGATACACATAGTTACATAGAGTACTATGGTACACATAGTTACATAGAGTACTATGGTACACATAGTTACATAGAGTACTATGGTACACATAGTTACATAGAGTACTATGATACACATAGTTACATAGAGTACTATGGTACACATAGTTACATAGAGTACTATGGTACACATAGTTACATAGAGTACTATGGTACACATAGTTACATAGAGTACTATGGTACACATAGTTACATAGAGTACTATGGTACACATAGTTACATAGAGTTCTATGGTACACATAGTTACATAGAGTACTATGGTACACATAGTTACATAGAGTACTATGGTACACACAGTTACATAGTGTACTATGGTACACATAGTTACATAGAGTACTATGGTACACATAGTTACATAGAGTACTATGGTACACATAGTTACATAGAGTACTATGGTACACATAGTTACATAGAGTACTATGATACACATAGTTACATAGAGTACTATGGTACACATAGTTACATAGAGTACTATGGTACACATAGTTACATAGAGTACTATGGTACACATAGTTACATAGAGTACTATGGTACACATAGTTACATAGAGTACTATGGTACACATAGAGGATGGGTTGTGTTGCACATATATCTACACTAACTATCTTTACTGTCAACCCGTATTACTGTGACTCCCACACATTTTTCACAGTCAAATTTCGGAATTTCAGAACTGTTGAGGTAGCCTCTGTGTGTGGCAGGTCTGCCACTGTAATCCAGCCTCTGTGTGTGGCAGGTCTGCCACTGTAATCCAGCCTCTGTGTGTGGCAGGTCTGCCACTGTAATCCAGCCTCTGTGTGTGGCAGGTCTGCCACTGTAATCCAGCCTCTGAACCCTACAGTGTCACCATTGACCTCCATCAGGGCACCATACTGGACCAACCTCGTCCAGTATAAACTAATCGACTATCTAACACGTAATATAGCACAGCTTGAAGCGGGGTTGTATCTTCTTCCGAATTATTTTCCGCCCTGTTTTTACAAACATGGCGGATCAGCAATATTTTCCAATTCGTGTGAAAATTTGGAAATATTGCAGATCAACACGGTTGACCAAGCAGCCAAACCAAAACTCATTATGCTTGAAAGTCCCTCCAAAAAATACTGCGCCGATTTCTATACAAGTTTTATTTGGAGGCTGTGGAGCCTTGCTGATGGGTGCACCGCTCTCTCTCACCCCAGACTGTGGAGGGTGAGCACCGTCGTGTGCAGCCATGGTAGGTATTGTGTGGTGACATGTGGTCACTGGTGGGGACTTGAGGCTGGGAGCATACACAACCCTCACATGTGTAGCCACCTGTGTGAGACACCGTGTGTGAGACACCATGTGTAGCCACATGTGTGAGACACCATGTGTAGCCACATGTGTGAGACACCATGTGTGGCCACATGTGTGAGACACCATGTGTGGCCACGTGTGTGAGACACCGTGTGTGAGACACCATGTGTAGCCACGTGTGTGAGACACCGTGGGTGAGACACCATGTGTAGCCACATGTGTGACAAGAGTCCTGAGCCTCTGCAACGCTCCGCACCCAACACATAGATGGAAATATATAATTAATCCAGAAATGACCCAAGCAATCCCAGCTAATCCCCGCTGCTCATTCTCAACCCTTCTTAACACGGGAAGCACACACACCCGTAGCTCCAACCATCCTCCACAACTGTGAAACTGGCGGCACAACTGGCGGCCCAACTGGCGGCCCAACTGGCGGCACAACTGGCGGCCCAACTGGTGGCCCAACTGGCGGCCCAACTGGCGGCCTAACTGGCGGCACAACTGGCGGCCCAACTGGCGGCCCAACTGGCGGCCCAACTGGCGGCCCAACTGGCGGCCCAACTGGCGGCCCAACTGGCGGCACAACTGGCGGCACAACTTGCGGCCCAACTGGCGGCACAACTGGCGGCACAACTGGCGGCACAACTGGCGGCCCAACTGGCGGCCCAACTGGCGGCACAACTGGCGGCACAACTGGCGGCCCAACTGGCGGCCCAACTGGCGGCCCAACTGGCGGCCCAACTGGCGGCACAACTGGCGGCCCAACTGGCGGCCCAACTGGCGGCCCAACTGGCGGCACAACTGGCGGCCCAACTGGCGGCCCAACTGGCGGCACAACTGGCGGCCCAACTGGCGGCACAACTGGCGGCACAACTGGCGGCCCAACTGGCGGCCCAACTGGCGGCCCAACTGGCGGCACAACTGGCGGCCCAACTGGCGGCCCAACTGGCGGCACAACTGGCGGCCCAACTGGCGGCCCAACTGGCGGCCCAACTGGCGGCCCAACTGGCGGCCCAACTGGCGGCCCAACTGGCGGCCCAACTGGCGGCCCAACTGGCGGCCCAACTGGCGGCACAACTGGCGGCCCAACTGGCGGCACAACCAGTTGGGCCGCCAGTTGCCACTATACTGCCCCAACATTTCAACGCAGCACGCAGACACCCGCCCCCAAGCCTCCTACAACATACCATGCCAACCTTCGCCTCCACGATAGACAAACTCTCCCCCATGCAACTGCAATTTACATAGATGAACTGCTGATACCAAACAATAATGAACCGTGTATGAGTAACGCTGTGTGGCTCCCTCGTTACCAGTAGGGATGGAGACCACCGTTACCTCAGTACACAGTAGGGGGCCTCGTAGGGGCCTCGTAGCCTGGTGGATAGCGCGCAGGATTCGTAATTCTGTGGCGCGGGTTCGATTCCCGCACGAGGCAGAAACAAATGGGCAAAGTTTCTTTCACCCTGAATGCCCCTGTTACCTAGCAGTAAATAGGTACCTGGGAGTTAGTCAGCTGTCACGGGCTGCTTCCTGGGGTGGGTGTGTGTGTGTGTGTGGTGTGGAAAAAAAAAATAGTTAGTAAACAGTTGATTGACAGTTGAGAGGCGGGCCGAAAGAGCAAAGCTCAACCCCCGTAAAAACACAACTAGTAAACACAACTAGTAAACACAACTAGTAAACACAACTAGTAAACACAACTAGTAAACACAACTAGTAAACACAACTAGTAAACACATAGCTCCACGGTACGCTCACTACCAAGCACCAACAGTAATGACCACAGTTGAGAAATTCGTAGTTCGCTGCGACTCCAAAAATACACTGGGAACCATCAAGTCAGAAGGATCCCAACTGGGAGCGCGATGGTGGGAACCCAGTTTACATGTCCAGTAATGGGCGCCTCAAGTTGGTCTACCGCAGTTGTTCCTCATTCTTGGGGGCTTTTTGCGCGCGTGAAATGTGTTTGTCTGCGCTGCTGTGTGTTTGTTTGGTGTTGTTGCCTCGGAACTTGTGGCTGGTTGAGCGTGTGCAGTATACAAGCACACGTCGCCAACACTCAGGGTTGAGCGTGTGCAGTATACAAGCACACGTCGCCAACACTCAGGGTTGAGCGTGTGCAGTATACAAGCACACGTCGCCAACACTCAGGGTTGAGCGTGTGCAGTATACAAGCACACGTCGCCAACACTCAGGGTTGAGCGTGTGCAGTATACAAGCACACGTCGCCAACACTCAGGGTTGAGCGTGTGCAGTATACAAGCACACGTCGCCAACACTCAGGGTTGAGCGTGTGCAGTATACAAGCACACGTCGCCAACACTCAGGGTTGAGCGTGTGCAGTATACAAGCACACGTCGCCAACACTCAGGGTTGAGCGTGTGCAGTATACAAGCACACGTCGCCAACACTCAGGGTTGAGCGTGTACAGTATACAAGCACACGTCGCCAACACTCAGGTGTATTGTACACTTCTCACAACTATTTTCAAACTGCCGAAGGCCCATACATTGTTGTGTTCTCTTCATTCTTACCATATACCCCCTCTACCTGCCTTCACCTGCCTTCACCTGCCTTCATCTCACCTTCCCTCACGCCTCACAGACTGCCTCTCACCTTCCCTCACGCCTCACAGACTGCCTCTCACCTTCCCTCACGCCTCATGGTGTGTGAGGACTTACCAGGGATCCACCATGGACCCAACCTTGTCATTTTCACTTCATTTTATAATTGTTGTGAACCGCGTTGTGTGTGTACTCACCTAATTGTGCTTGCGGGGGTTGAGCTTTGGCTCTTTGGTCCCGCCTCTCAACTGTCAATCAACAGGTGTACAGGTTCCTGAGCCTATTGGGCTCTATCATATCTACACTTGAAACTGTGTATGGAGTCAGCCTCCACCACATTACTTCCTAATGCATTCCATTTGTCAACTACTCTGACACTAAAAAAAAAAATTCTAATATTTCTGTGGCTCATTTGGGCACTCAGTTTCCACCTGTGACCCCTTGTGCGTGTTCCCCTTGTGTTAAATAGCCTGTCTTTATCTACCCTATCAATTCCTCTGAGAATCTTGTACGTGGTGATCATATCCCCCCCAAACTCTTCTGTCTTCTAGCGATGTGAGTTTTAATTCCCGTAGTCTCTCCTCGTAGCTCATACCTCTCAGCTCGGGTACTAGTCTGGTGGCAAACCTTTGAACCTTTTTCAGTTTGGCCTTATGCTTGACTAGATATGGACTTCATGCTGGAGCCGCATACTACAGGATTAGTCTGACATAGGTGGTATACAAAGTTCGGAATGATTCCTTACACAAGTGTCTAAATGCCGTTATTATGTTAGCGAACCTGGCATATGCTGCTGATGTTATCCTCTTGATGTGAGCTTCAGGGGACAGGTCTGGCGTGATATCAACCCCCAGGTCTTTCTCTCTGACTCTTGAAGTATTTCATCTCCCAAATGATACCTTGTAACTGGCCTCCTGCTCCCTACACCTATCTTCATTACATTACATTTGCTTGGGTTAAACTCTAACAACCATTTGTTCGACCATTCCTTTAGTTTGTCTAGGTCTTCTTGAAGCCTCAAGCAGTCCTCCTCTGTCTTAATCCTTCTCATAATTTTGGCATCGTCAGCAAACATTGAGAGGAATGAGTCTATACCCTCTGGGAGATCGTTTACGTATATCAGAAACAAGATAGGACCGAGTACAGAGCCCTGTGGGACTCCACTGGTGACTTCACGCCAATCGGAGGTCTCACCCCTCACCGTAACTCTCTGCTTCCTATTGCTTAGGTACTCCCCTATCCACTGGAGCACCTTACCAGCTACACCTGCCTGTCTCTCCAGCTTATGTACCAGCCTCTTATGGGAGACTGTGTGTGCGTGTGTCCGTGTACGTGTGTGTGCGTGTGTTCGTGTGCGTGTGTTCGTGTGCGTGTGTCCGTGTGCGTGTGAGTGCATGTGTGTGTATTCACCTAGTTGTGCATTAGATCATATTTACATTTGAAACTGTGTATGGAGTCAGCCTCCACCACATCACTGCCTAATGCATTCCATCTATTAACTACTCTGACAATGAAAAAGTTCTTTCTATCGTCCGTGTTCAGTGAGTCACCGTACTGTGAGTCACCCCTCACAGTGACTCGCTGTCTTCTGTTACTTAGGTACTCCCTTATCCAATGGAGTACCTTCCCTTTCACTCCTGCCTGCATCTCCAGCTTGTGCACTAGCCTCTTGTGTGGTACTGTGTCAAAGACTTTCTGGCAATCCAAAAATATACAATCTGTCCCCCCCCCTCTCGTTATTGCCTGATTTTTGTTGCCTTATCGTAGAATTCAATTAATCCTGTGAGGCATGACTTGCCTTCCCTTAACTCATGTTGATGTTGTCACAAAGTTCCTTCGCTCCAGATGTTCCACTAGATTTTTTCGCACAATCTTCTCCATCAACTTGCATGGTATGCAAGCTTGGGACACTGGCCTGTAGTTCAGTCCCTCCTGTCTATCCCCCGTCTTGTATATCGGGACTACATTAGCCGTTTTCCAAACTTTTGGCAGTTCACCTGTTACCAGTGATTTGTAATACACCATGGAGAGTGGCAGGCACACTCTCCATGGTGTCTGCTTCTGCTCCTTCCTTCAGTATCCATGGTGAGATTTCGTCCAGGCCTATAGCCATTGTCACATCCAACTCTAACAGATGCTTCCTCACCTCCCCACTGGTAATCACAAATTCATCTAGTGGTGTTTGGTTAGATATTCCCTTTATTATCTGAGGGACTTCCCCTTTCTCTACTGTGAAAACTTCCTGGAATTTCTTATTGAGTTCCTCACACACTTCCTTGTCGTTTGTAGTGACTCTGTCTGCCCATATTCTCAGGTTCATTACCTGTTTCTTCAGTGATGTTTTTCTCCTGATGTGGCTATGCAGCAATTTAGGTTAAGTCTTTGCCTTGCTTGCTATGTAATTTTCATATTGTCTTTCTGCCTGTCTTCTCAACCTGACGTATTCATTCCTGGCGCTCTGGTATCTTTCTCTGTTCTCTAGTGTCCTGTTATTTATGTAGATTCTTCACGCTCTTGTGCTTAGTTACTTTGCTAGCTTACATCTCTGATTAAACCATGGGTTTCTCGTCTGAATTTAATTTTCTTCATTTTGGACTGGGATGATCTTGACTGCTGCCTCCTTACATTTCTGTGGGATGTAGTCCATCGTGTCTTGGCCCGTCTTTCCTCTGAGCTCTGTTTCCCAAGTTATATCTGTTATGAATTGTCTTATCTCCTCATAGTTTCCCTTTCGGAATGCTAGTCTTTTGTTTTGTGGGCCCTTCCTTGAGTACATTAACCCTTCTTCAACCAGATAGTCAAACGTCAGTACACTGTGATCACTACTCACAGAAATCACAATAGCGTGATGTATCAAATGAACAAATCCACAAGGGCCGTGACGAAGGTACGAACCTACGTCCGAGAGGATCCCAGACGATACCTAAATAATTAACCATGTAGTAGCTCAGTCGATTAAGGCAGCGTCTGGGATGCTCTCGGACGTAGGTTCTAATCCTCGTCACGGCCCTCGTGGATTTGTTCACTGAGATCACTCATTCCTACGGGAGCCTCGACATCGATTTCCCTTATGTCGGAGTCGTTGAGAGTGAAGACGAAGTCGAGTCTCGCTGGTTCATCGTTGCCTCTCATCCTTGTGGGTTCCCTGACATGCTGACTTAAAATGTTACTTATCGTCACTTCCAACAGTTTAGGTCTCCGTGTTACCTCACCTCCGTGTGGTTCCTTGTTCTCCAAGTCTATCTTTCCATGATTGACGTCGCCCATGATGAGCAGGTGGGATCTATTTCTACAGGCAGCAGTGGTTGCCCTCTAAGAGTCTAAGTTATAGTGTTAACTGCCATGTGTGTGTGTGTGTGTGTGTGTGTGTGTGTGTGTGTGTGTGTGTGTGTGTGTGTGTTTGGGTCCCGTAGGTGTTTGGGTGTGTAAATGATGGCTGCCTCGTGTGGATCAGTCTCCTTTATTCTCATGTTGCCTCTCTTCCACTGCCTTTGCATGCGAGTATTTTTGTGTCTTGCTTGTGTGTTTCCCAGCAGGTTAAGAGTGTCCTGGTGTATTGTGGCGTCCTTCCTCCTCTCTTGTCGAGTCTTGCTCCTCTCGCTCTCTCATATCCTTGTACACTAGTGGCGTTAGTAATCCTTCCTGTTACATTTAATCCCTCTGTGTCTGTGTGTTTACAAGGTTTTGTGTGGGCGTTTAGTGAGTGTGTGTGTGTACCTATAAGGTTTTGTGTGGGGTGTTGAGTGAGTGTGTGTGTGTACCTATAAGGTTTTGTGTGGGGTGTTGAGTGAGTGTGTGTGTTTACAAGGTTTTGTGTGGGGTGTTGAGTGAGTGTGTGTGTTTACAAGGTTTTGTGTGGGGTGTTGAGTGAGTGTGTGTGTGTACCTATAAGGTTTTGTGTGGGCGTTTAGTGAGTGTGTGTGTGTACCTATAAGGTTTTGTGTGGGGTGTTGAGTGAGTGTGTGTGTGTACCTATAAGGTTTTGTGTGGGGTGTTGAGTGAGTGTGTGTGTACTTACAGAGAGTGTGCAGCAAGTGTGGGGTGGAGAGTGCCAGCCCGGACGGAGGGAAGGTGTGGCTCTGCAAGATCTGCGCCGAGACGCGGGAGATGTGGAAGAGATCTGGCGCCTGGTTCTTCCGAGGCATCCCCAAGCACATCTTGCCTCCCACCTCCTCCTCGGCTCCTGCCTCCACCGCCCGCAAGGCCCGCCCACCGCCCCGGAGGGCCCACACACTCGGCTTTAAAGGTGAGCAGAAGTGAGGGCTGGAGGGGTAGGGGTAGGGGGGGGCTTGATTCACGTCTCAGGTTAATGGCACACACGGGGGGTGGGAGGGGTTAAAGGTAAGTGGTTTGCTTTCATTTGTTAAACCAGAGAGTTCATATCTCAGGTGAACAGCCAGGCTGGGGCGCCTCGCTCAGTGTGGGGGGGGGGGGTGTTGTCGAGGGGGGCAGGGGTGACTTAAGGTGTAGGGCAGATGGAGGTTAGTACCACTGAGAGTGACCAGGACCTTGGCTCAGACCAGGACCTTGGCTCAGACCAGGACCTTGGCTCAGACCAGGACCTTGGCTCAGACCAGGACCTTGGCTCAGACCAAGACCTTGGCTCAGACCAGGACCTTGGCTCAGACCAGGACCTTGGCTCAGACCAGGACTTTGGCTCAGACCAGGACCTTGGCTCAGACCAAGACCTTGGCTCAGACCAGGACCTTGGCTCAGACCAGGACCTTGGCTCAGACCAGGACCTTGGCTCAGACCAGGACCTTGGCTCAGACCAAGACCTTGGCTCAGACCAGGACCTTGGCTCAGACCAGGACCTTGGTTCAGACCAGGACCTTGGCTCAGACCAGGACCTTGGCTCAGACCAGGACCTTGGCTCAGACCAAGACCTTGGCTCAGACCAGGACCTTGGCTCAGACCAAGACCTTGGCTCAGACCAGGACCTTGGCTCAGACCAAGACCTTGGCTCAGACCAAGACCTTGGCTCAGACCAAGACCTTGGTTCAGACCAGGACCTTGGCTCAGACCAGGACCTTGGCTCAGACCAGGACCTTGGCTCAGACCAGGACCTTGGCTCAGACCAGGACCTTGGCTCAGACCAAGACCTTGGCTCAGACCAGGACCTTGGCTCAGACCAAGACCTTGGCTCAGACCAAGACCTTGGCTCAGACCAAAACCTTGGCTCAGACCAGGACTTTGGCTCAGACCAGGACCTTGGCTCAGACCAAGACCTTGGCTCAGACCAGGACCTTGGCTCAGACCAGGACCTTGGCTCAGACCAGGACCTTGGCTCAGACCAGGACCTTGGCTCAGACCAGGACCTTGGCTCAGACCAAGACCTTGGCTCAGACCAGGACCTTGGCTCAGACCAGGACCTTGGCTCAGACCAGGACCTTGGCTCAGACCAGGACCTTGGCTCAGACCAGGACCTTGGCTCAGACCAAGACCTTGGCTCAGACCAGGACCTTGGCTCAGACCAAGACCTTGGCTCAGACCAGGACCTTGGCTCAGACCAGGACCTTGGCTCAGACCAAGACCTTGGCTCAGACCAAGACCTTGGCTCAGACCAAGACCTTGGCTCAGACCAGGACCTTGGCTCAGACCAGGACCTTGGCTCAGACCAAGACCTTGGCTCAGACCAAGACCTTGGTTCAGACCAAGACCTTGGCTTAGACCAAGACCTTGGCTCAGACCAAGACCTTGGCTCAGACCAAGACCTTGGCTCAGACCAGGACCTTGGCTCAGACCAAGACCTTGGCTCAGACCAGGACCTTGGCTCAGACCAGGACCTTGGCTCAGACCAGGACCTTGGCTCAGACCAAGACCTTGGCTCAGACCAGGACCTTGGCTCAGACCAAGACGTTGGCTCAGACCAGGACCTTGGCTCAGACCAAGACCTTGGCTCAGACCAGGACCTTGGCTCAGACCAGGACCTTGGCTCAGACCAGGACCTTGGCTCAGACCAGGACCTTGGCTCAGACCAGGACCTTGCCTCAGACCAAGACCTTGGCTCAGACCAGGACCTTGGCTCAGACCAGGACCTTGGCTCAGACCAGGACCTTGCCTCAGACCAAGACCTTGGCTCAGACCAGGACCTTGGCTCAGACCAGGACCTTGGCTCAGACCAGGACCTTGGCTCAGACCAGGACCTTGGCTCAGACCAGGACCTTGGCTCAGACCAAGACCTTGGCTCAGACCAAGACCTTGGCTCAGACCAAGACCTTGGCTCAGACCAAGATCTTGGCTCAGACCAGGACCCTGGCTCAGACCAGGACCTTGGCTCAGACCAAGACCTTGGCTCAGACCAGGACCTTGGCTCAGACCAGGACCCTGGCTCAGATCAGGACCTTGGCTCAGACCAGGACCTTTACTCAGACCAAGACCTTGGCTCAGACCAGGACCTTGGCTCAGACCAGGACCTTGGCTCAGACCAAGACCTTGGCTCAGACCAGGACCTAGGCTCAGACCAAGACCTTGGCTCAGACCAACTCCTTGGCTCAGACCAGGACCCTGGCTCAGATCAGCACCTTGGCTCAGACCAGGACCTTTACTCAGACCAAGACCTTGGCTCAGACCAGGACCTTGGCTCAGACCAGGACCTTGGCTCAGACCAAGACCTTGGCTCAGACCAGGACCTAGGCTCAGACCAAGACCTTGGCTCAGACCAAGTCCTTGGCTCAGACCAGGACCTTGGCTCAGACCAGGTCCTTGGCTCAGACCAGGACCTTGGCTCAGACCAAGTCCTTGGCTCAGACCAGGACCCTGGCTCAGACCAGGACCTTGGCTCAGACCAGGACCATGGCTCAGACCAGGACCTTGGCTCAGACCAAGTCCTTGGCTCAGACCAGGACCTTGGCTCAGACCAGGACCCTGGCTCAGACCAGGACCTTGGCTCAGACCAGGACCCTGGCTCAGACCAGGACCTTGGCTCAGACCAGGACCTTGGCTCAGACCAGGACCCTGGCTCAGACCAGGACCTTGGCTCAGACCAGGACCCTGGCTCAGACCAGGACCCTGGCTCAGACCAGGTCCTTGGCTCAGACCAGGACCTTGGCTCAGGCCAGGACCTTGGCTCAGACCAGGACCCTGGCTCAGACCAGGACCTTGGCTCAGACCAGGACCTTGGCTCAGACCAAGACCTTGGTTCAGACCAGGTCCTTGGCTCAGACCAGGACCTTGGCTCAGACCAGGACCCTGGCTCAGACCAGGACCTTGGCTCAGACCAGGACCTTGGCTCAGACCAAGACCTTGGTTCAGACCAAGACCTTGGCTCAGACCAGGACCCTGGCTCGGACCAGGACCTTGGCTCAGACCAGGACCTTGGCTCAGACCAGGACCTTGGCTCAGACCAACACCTTGGCTCAGACCAGGACCCTGGCACAGACCAGGACCTTGGCTCAGACCAAGACCTTGGCTCAGACCAGGACCTTGGTTCAGACCAGGACCTTGGCTCAGACCAGGACCTTGGCTCAGACCAGGACCTTGGCTCAGACCAAGACCTTGGTTCAGACCAAGACCTTGGCTCAGACCAGGACCCTGGCACAGACCAAGACCTTGGTTCAGACCAAGACCTTGGCTCAGACCAAGACCTTGGCTCAGACCAGGACCCTGGCTCAGACCAGGACCTTGGCTCAGACCAAGACCTTGGCTCAGACCAGGACCTTGGCTCAGACCAGGACCTTGGCTCAGACCAGGACCTTGGCTCAGACCAGGACCTTGGCTCAGACCAGGACCTTGGCTCAGACCAAGACCTTGGCTCAGACCAGGACCTCGGAAGTTACTCACAACTTACTCACATCTATACAGCAGTATATAGCCCGAGTATACTCTAGCCATGGAGTGTGTCGCAGGATAAAGTATACTTGCCGGGCGGTCTTCATAATTGTAGCTGTTGTTTGGTCGTAAGCCCAACACCAGAATTAATCTTTAACAGTATAAATCAGTTTGGAATAAATTGTGTCCCGAAAAAGCGTATCAAACACCGCCATTCATAACATCAACAAATATAAGGAACCAGCCAATATTACTCAAGAGATATAACTATGTACTAATTAAACAACAATTATTTTCAATTTTATATTTATTTACTTCATTAATTTGTAAACATTGTATTGAAAAACTCTCGTCGTTAGAAACTAACAGGAAAACCCTGCTGTATAAATACCCCGTGTGAGGGCCCAGGGGCCCACAAGACCCCGTGCGAGGTCCCAGGGGCCCACAAGACCCCCGTGCGAGGGCCTAGGGGCCCATAAGACCCCGTGTGAGGGGCCAGGGGCTCACAAGACCCCGTGTGAGGGGCCAGGGGCTCACAAGACCCCTGTGAGGGCCCAGGGGCTCACAAGACCTCGTGTGAGGGGCCCAGGGGCCCACAAGACCTCGTGTGAGGGGCCCAGGGGCCCACAAGACCCCGTGTAAGGGGCCCAGGGGCTCACAAGACCTCGAGTGAGGGGCCCAGGGGCCCACAAGACCCCGTGTAAGGGGCCCAGGGGCTCACAAGACCTCGTGTAAGGGGCCCAGGGGCTCACAAGACCTCGTGTGAGGGGCCCAGGGGCCCACAAGACCCCGTGTGAGGGCCCAGGGGCTCACAAGACCTCGTGTGAGGGGCCCAGGGGCTCACAAGACTTCGTGTAAGGGGCCCAGGGGCTCACAAGACCTCGTGTGAGGGGCCCAGGGGCTCACAAGACCTCGTGTGAGGGGCCAGGGGCCCACAAGACCTCGTGTGAGGGGCCAGGGGCCCATAAGACCCCGTGTGAGGGCCCAGGGGCCCGTAAGACCCCGTGTGAGGGCCCAGGGGCCCACAAGACCTCGTGTGAGGGCCCAGGGGCCCACAAGACCCCGTGAAAGGGCCCAGGGGCCCACAAGACCCCGTGTGAGGGCCCAGGGGCTCACATGACCCCGTGAAAGGGCCCAGGGGCCCACAAGACCCCGTGTGAGGGCCCTGGGGCTCACATGACCCCGTGTGAGGGCCCAGGGGCTCACATGACCCCGTGTGAGGGCCCAGGGGCCCATAAGACCCCCGTGTGAGGGCCCAGGGGCTCACAAGACCCCGTGTGAGGGCCCAGGGGCCACAAGACCCCGTGTGAGGGCCCAGGGGCCCATAAGACCCCCGTGTGAGGGCCCAGGGGCCACAAGACCCCGTGTGAGGGCCCAGGGGCCCATACGACCCACGTGTGAGGGGCCCAGGGGCTCACAAGACCCCGTGTGAGGGCCCAGGGGCCCATAAGACCCCGTGTGAGGGGCCAGGGGCCCACAAGACCCCGTGTGAGGGCCCAGGGGCTCACCAGACCCCGTGTGAGGGCCCAGGGGCTCACCAGACCCCGTGTGAGGGCCCAGGGGCCCACAAGACCCCGTGTGAGGGCCTAGGGGCCTAGAAGACCCCGTGAAAGGGCCCAGGGGCCCACAAGACCCCGTGCGAGGGCCCAGGGGCCCACAAGACCCCGTACGAGGGCCCAGGGGCCCACAAGACCCCGTGCAAGAGCCCAGGGACCCACAAGACCCCGTGCGAGGGCCCAGGGACCCACAAGATCCCGTGCAAGAGCCCAGGGGCCCCACAAGACCCGGTGCGAGGGCCCAGGGGCCTCACAAGACCCCGTGTGAGGGCCCAGGGGCCCACAAGACCCCGTGTGAGGGCCCAGGGGCCCACAAGACCCCGTGCGAGGGCCCAGGGGCTCACAAGACCCAATGTGAGGGCCCAGGGGGGCCACAAGACCCCGTGTGAGGGCCCAGGGGTCCCACAAGACAAATAAATACCAGGTAAAACTATTGACAGAAATATGAAAGAAGAAGATTATTTACATTTTAATAGTTGGCAGTAACCGTGGCCATCGTCAGGTGCCACAGAGACCTGGCGACTGTGGTGTGGACCGGGAATATCGACTCTCTCATACAGTCAACAACACAGAGACATTGAGCCCCCATAAAGTGCGTGCACGATATTTTGTTAAGGTATTAATGCTTGTGTCGGGAGAGGAGAGGAGAGGAGAGGAGAGGAGGGAGAGGAAGGAAGACAAGGGAGAGGAAGGAAGACAAGGGAGAGGAAGGAAGACGAGGGAGAGGAAGGAAGACGAGGGAGAGGAAGGAAGACAAGGGAGAGGAAGGAAGACAAGGGAGAGGAGGGAAGACAAGGGAGAGGAAGGAAGACAAGGGAGAGGAAGGAAGACAAGGGAGAGGAAGGAAGACGAGGAAGAGGAGGGAAGACAAGGGAGAGGAAGGAAGACAAGGGAGAGGAGGGAAGACAAGGGAGAGGAAGGAAGACAAGGGAGAGGAAGGAAGACAAGGGAGAGGAGGGAAGACAAGGGAGAGGAGGGAAGACAAGGGAGAGGAAGGAAGACGAGGGAGAGGAGGGAAGACAAGGGAGAGGAGGGAAGACAAGGGAGAGGAAGGAAGACAAGGGAGAGGAGGGAAGACAAGGGAGAGGAAGGAAGACAAGGGAGAGGAAGGAAGACGAGGAAGAGGAGGGAAGACAAGGGAGAGGAAGGAAGACAAGGGAGAGGAAGGAAGACAAGGGAGAGGAAGGAAGACAAGGGAGAGGAGGGAAGACAAGGGAGAGGAAGGAAGACAAGGGAGAGGAAGGAAGACAAGGGAGAGGAGGGAAGACAAGGGAGAGGAAGGAAGACAAGGGAGAGGAGGGAAGACAAGGGAGAGGAAGGAAGACAAGGGAGAGGAAGGAAGACAAGGGAGAGGAAGGAAGACAAGGGAGAGGAAGGAAGACAAGGGAGAGGAGGGAAGACAAGGGAGAGGAAGGAAGACAAGGGAGAGGAAGGAAGACGAGGAAGAGGAGGGAAGACAAGGGAGAGGAGGGAAGACAAGGGAGAGGAAGGAAGACAAGGGAGAGGAAGGAAGACAAGGGAGAGGAGGGAAGACAAGGGAGAGGAAGGAAGACAAGGGAGAGGAAGGAAGACGAGGAAGAGGAGGGAAGACGAGGGAGAGGAGGGAAGACAAGGGAGAGGAGGGAAGACAAGGGAGAGGAGGGAAGACAAGGGAGAGGAGGGAAGACAAGGGAGAGGAGGGAAGACAAGGGAGAGGAGGGAAGACAAGGGAGAGGAAGGAAGACAAGGGAGAGGAGGGAAGACAAGGGAGAGGAAGGAAGACAAGGGAGAGGAAGGAAGACAAGGGAGAGGAGGGAAGACAAGGGAGAGGAAGGAAGACAAGGGAGAGGAGGGAAGACAAGGGAGAGGAAGGAAGACAAGGGAGAGGAAGGAAGACAAGGGAGAGGAAGGAAGACAAGGGAGAGGAAGGAAGACAAGGGAGAGGAGGGAAGACAAGGGAGAGGAGGGAAGACAAGGGAGAGGAAGGAAGACAAGGGAGAGGAGGGAAGACAAGGGAGAGGAAGGAAGACAAGGGAGAGGAGGGAAGACAAGGGAGAGGAGGGAAGACAAGGGAGAGGAAGGAAGACAAGGGAGAGGAAGGAAGACAAGGGAGAGGAAGGAAGACAAGGGAGAGGAGGGAAGACAAGGGAGAGGAAGGAAGACAAGGGAGAGGAAGGAAGACAAGGGAGAGGAGGGAAGACAAGGGAGAGGAAGGAAGACAAGGGAGAGGGAAGACAAGGGAGAGGAAGGAAGACAAGGGAGAGGAAGGAAGACAAGGGAGAGGAGGGAAGACAAGGGAGAGGAGGGAAGACAAGGGAGAGGAAGGAAGACAAGGGAGAGGAAGGAAGACGAGGAAGAGGAGGGAAGACAAGGGAGAGGAGGGAAGATAAGGGAGAGGAAGGAAGACAAGGGAGAGGAGGGAAGACAAGGGAGAGGAGGGAAGACAAGGGAGAGGAAGGAAGACAAGGGAGAGGAGGGAAGACAAGGGAGAGGAAGGAAGACAAGGGAGAGGAGGGAAGACAAGGGAGAGGAGGGAAGACAAGGGAGAGGAAGGAAGACAAGGGAGAGGAAGGAAGACAAGGGAGAGGAAGGAAGACAAGGGAGAGGAAGGAAGACAAGGGAGAGGAAGGAAGACAAGGGAGAGGAGGGAAGACAAGGGAGAGGAAGGAAGACAAGGGAGAGGAAGGAAGACAAGGGAGAGGAAGGAAGACAAGGGAGAGGAAGGAAGACAAGGGAGAGGAAGGAAGACAAGGGAGAGGAGGGAAGACAAGGGAGAGGAGGGAAGACAAGGGAGAGGAAGAAGACAAGGGAGAGGAAGGAAGACGAGGAACTAGGAGAGGTAATATAATCCTGAGCTGCATCTCTCGCAATGTAACGTTTTATACAACCCGTTCTCGCAAATTTAATAAGTCAATATTGACTTATTAAATATGTGCATAGGTGACATACTTAACATAATAGTTTCCCTTGAAAAGCTTCATAGAAAACACCGACCTTACCTAACCTACTTAATATGTTAAGATAAGCATCTTATTGCTTCGTAATTACAATTATTACCTAACCTATACCTATAATAGGTTAAGTAACAATTGTAATTACGAAGCTATAAGATGCTTATTTTAACATACTAAGTAGGTTAGGTAAGGTCGGTGTTTTCTATGAAGCTTTTCAAGGGAAACTATTATGTTTAGTATGTCACCTATGCACGCAACTAATAAGTCAATATTGACTTATTAAATTTGCGAGAACTGGTTGGTTTTATACCATGGATCACATGCCTGGGACGGCGCAGCGCGGTCAGTGTGTGGGCGTCTGTGTTGGTGTGTGGGCGTGTGTGTTGGTGTGTGGGCGTCTGTGTTGGTGTGTGGGCGTCTGTGTTGGTGTGTGGGCGTCTGTGTTGGTGTGTGGGCGTCTGTGTTGGTGTGTGGGCGTCTGTGTTGGTGTGTGGGCGTCTAGGTAGGTGTGTGGGCGTCTGGGTAGGTGTGTAAGGGTCTGGGTCGGTGTGTGGGCGTCTGGGTAGGTGTGTAAGGGTCTGGGTAGGTGTGTAAGGGTCTGGGTCGGTGTGTGGGCGTCTGGGTAGGTGTGTAAGGGTCTGGGTCTGTGTGTGGGCGTCTGTGTTGGTGTGTGGGCGTCTGGGTAGGTGTGTAAGGGTCTGGGTCGGTGTGTGGGCGTCTGGGTCGGTGTGTGGGCGTTTGGGTAGGTGTGTAAGGGTCTGGGTAGGTGTGTAAGGGTCTGGGTCGGTGTGTGGGCGTCTGGGTCGGTGTGTGGGCGTCTGAGTAGGTGTGTAATGGTCTGGGTAGGTGTGTAAGGGTCTGGGTCGGTGTGTGGGCGTCTGTGTCAGTGTGTGGGCGTCTGGGTCGGTGTGTGGGCGTCTGAGTAGGTGTGTAAGGGTCTGGGTAGGTGTGTAAGGGTCTGGGTCGGTGTGTGGGCGTCTGGGTAGGTGTGTAAGAGTCTGGGTAGGTGTGTAAGAGTCTGGGTAGGTGTGTAAGAGTCTGGGTAGGTGTGTAAGAGTCTGGGTAGGTGTGTAAGGGTCTGGGTAGGTGTGTAAGGGTCTGGGTAGGTGTGTAAGGGTCTGGGTCGGTGTGTGGGCGTCTGGGTAGGTGTGTAAGAGTCTGGGTAGGTGTGTAAGGGTCTGGGTCGGTGTGTGGGCGTCTGTGTCAGTGTGTAAGGGTCTGGGTCGGTGTTGGGCGTCTGGGTAGGTGTGTAAGGGTCTGGGTAGGTGTGTAAGGGTCTGGGTCGGTGTGTGGGCGTCTGGGTAGGTGTGTAAGAGTCTGGGTAGGTGTGTAAGGGTCTGGGTCGGTGTGTGGGCGTCTGTGTCAGTGTGTAAGGGTCTGGGTAGGTGTGTAAGGGTCTGGGTCGGTGTGTAAGAGTCTGGGTAGGTGTGTAAGGGTCTGGGTCGGTGTGTGGGCGTCTGGGTAGGTGTGTAAGAGTCTGGGTAGGTGTGTAAGAGTCTGGGTAGGTGTGTAAGGGTCTGGGTCGGTGTGTAAGAGTCTGGGTAGGTGTGTAAGGGTCTGGGTCGGTGTGTGGGCGTCTGGGTAGGTGTGTAAGAGTCTGGGTAGGTGTGTAAGAGTCTGGGTAGGTGTGTAAGAGTCTGGGTAGGTGTGTAAGAGTCTGGGTAGGTGTGTGGGTGTTTATGAGGCGATTGGTGTTGTTATTATGAGGGGAGGAGTTGTAGGGAGGGGCGGGTGTGTTGGTTTGTGGTGTTGAAGGTGTTTTGAGGGCGGGGGTAATGTTTATTTTTTTTTTGATGGCTCGAAGTGTCGTTTTGAAGCGAACAAAACGAACAACAATAGGAGGGAAACAAGGTAGCACTAACCAGGTAGACCCCGCTGACTGGTGCCAGACCCCGCTGACTGGTGCCAGACCCCGCTGACTGGTGCCAGACCCCGCTGACTGGTGCCAGACCCCGCTGACTGGTGCCAGACCCCGCTGACTGGTGCCAGACTCCGCTGACTGGTGCCAGACCCCGCTGACTGGTGCTCCTGTAGTATAGACTCACACCTAACTGTTTACCTCTCCTGGAGTGGAGTCCGACACACGCGGCGTGAGAGGCGGGCGGCGGGCCCCAGCCATTCCTTCCACCTGGTGTGTTCACCTCAATATTTAGTGTTGTGTTCATATCACCCTCGCTGTCCTGTCACCCTCGCTGCTCTGTCACCCTCGCTGCTCTGTCACCCTCGCTGCTCTGTCACCCTCGCTGCTCTGTCACCCTCGCTGCTCTGTCACCCTCGCTGCTCTGTCACCCTCGCTGCTCTGTCACCCTCGCTGCTCTGTCACCCTCGCTGCTCTGTCACCCTCGCTGCTCTGTCACCCTCGCTACTCTGTCACCCTCGCTACTCTGTCACCCTCGCTGCTCTGTCACCCTCGCTGCTCTGTCTTCCGGTTCCGCGCCTGGAACACCACTTGTAGTTGTGTGGGATATTGCGTGCTGGTGCCTCCTGGACTACAGTGTATTGTGGCTCTACAAGTACCACTTCTGGCCAGAGGACTGACGGCCCACTAAATGTTTCATTCTTTACTGATAAACCGTCGGAGCGTTCCGTTATAACTTCCTGCACGAGGCTCCACCTCAGGTTGTGACCCTGGAAACACAAACCGAAACTGTCTCTATTTTCCGCTTGTTACAACTTGTAATAAAGTTGTTACATCTTGGCTTAACGTGTTTATGACGTATTAGAACGTTGTTACAACTTGCTATATTGGTTGTTATAACTGGTTAGGAGGTGTTAAAACTTGTTCGAACGTTGTACCAACGTTGTAGTATCGGTGTGTGTTTGGCGGGCGAAGCATTGGTTCCTGGAATGTTTCACTCTGGCAGCGTGATCTCCTGCTGACTATGAGCCGGTCGGCCGAGCGGAGAGCACACTGGACTTGTGATCCTGTGGTCCCGGGTTCGATCCCGGGCGCTGGCGAGAAACAATGGGCAGAGTTTCTTTCACCCTATGCCCCTGTTACCTAGCAGTAAAATAGGTACCTGGGTGTTAGTCAGCTGTCACGGGCTGCTTCCTGGGGGTGGAGGCCTGGTCGAGGACCGGGCCGCGGGGACACTAAAGCCCCGAAATCATCTCAAGATAACCTCAAGATGAGTACAGTGACGCTTGCTGTTGCCTGCTGACCTGGCCCCCTGCCCCCAACATGTCAAGTGATGCAACGGGGAACGGCAAGTGATGAGGTGACAGACGGAGTGAAGGAACAATCCCCAATCACTTGGACCATCGGGAATCGAACAACGAATTGCAAAATGTGAAGCCGTGACTGTACCGACCAGTGCTAAAGGCTGGACGTTATCTTCTAGTGCTGAAGAGCCTCTTGGTTCAACCATCTGGAACCATAATTATGTGATTAAGGGGCACGTGTTAGGGTGTAAGGGGCACGTGTTAGGGTGTAAGGGGCACGTGTTAGGGTGTAAGGGGCACGTGTGAGAGTGTAAGGGGCACGTGTTAGGGTGTAAGGGGCACGTGTTAGGGTGTAAGGGGCACGTGTTAGGGTGTAAGGGGCACGTGTTAGGGTGTAAGGGGCACGTGTTAGGGTGTAAGGGGCACGTGTGAGAGTGTAAGGGGCACGTGTTAGGGTGTAAGGGGCACGTGTTAGGGTGTAAGGGGCACGTGTGAGAGTGTAAGGGGCACGTGTGAGGGTGTAAGGGGCACGTGTTAGGGTGTAAGGGGCACGTGTTAGGGTGTAAGGGCCACGTGTTAGGGTGTGAGGGGCACGTGTTAGCGTGTAAGGGGCACGTGTTAGGGTGTAAGGGCCACGTGTTAGGGTGTAAGGGGCACGTGTTAGGGTGTGAGGAGCACGTGTTAGGGTGTAAGGGGCACGTGTTAGGGTGTGAGGGCCACGTGTTAGGGTGTAAGGGGCACGTGTTAGGGTGTGAGGGGCACGTGTTAGCGTGTAAGGGGCACGTGTTAGGGTGTAAGGGCCACGTGTTAGGGTGTAAGGGCCACGTGTTAGGGTGTAAGGGGCACGTGTTAGGGTGTGAGGGGCACGTGTTAGGGTGTGAGGGGCACGTGTTAGGGTGTGAGGGCCACGTGTTAGGGTGTGAGGACCACGTGTTAGGGTGTAAGGGGCACGTGTTAGGGTGTGAGGGGCACGTGTTAGGGTGTAAGGGGCACGTGTTAGGGTGTAAGGGGCACGTGTTAGGGTGTGAGGGGCACGTGTTAGGGTGTGAGGGCCACGTGTTAGGGTGTGAGGGCCAGTGTTACCTATCGTACGTTAAGGCTCGTGATCCTACAGCAGCCAAACTTTAATTACGTCTAGGGATACGACACAACTGCTGTTCTCAATAGCGAATCACCAGTATAACCCCATGATAAGTAATGAGCACAATAATAAATCTTCATAGGACTGAAGAAGAGATACAACAAGTATATATATATAAATATATTAAATAAATCTCAAAAGCAAACAGATGATTATATGGTCACAATATATCACATTAAAAATATCACTGTATCTTCCAGACATTAAATCAATATTATTATATGTATGGCTATGACAGAACAAAAATGTAACTTAACTCCAAGATGTTATCTCCCTGGTTCCTGCTCAGCTACTGAATAAAATAACGCGAGAATCAAAACAGATTGCCTTGCCCCGCGAATAAATTGCCAAAGTTACAATATTTATTATTTCAACAATGGAGCAATACATTGTGACAAGAGTAATCTTAAACTAACTTAATGAATAATTAATATATATTGATATACACAAATTAAAGTAATAGTTTCTTTACATAGTAATTAAAATATGCATACAGAAGGGAATAATGGCATGCACACCCAGCAACGGACGATCCCACGACAATTTGCCAGATACAGTTCACTCAATTATTATTCACCTCTGTTACCCACTTATGATCACATATAAATCATTAGTTCCCGTGGGAAAACTGATCACACAAAGAAATAAAACAATCATTCCCACGATACGTTGGGCCTAACGCCAACACTGTAACATGAATGTGCATTTGCATAGAACATATATAAGTATATCAATATACATGCTTGTAATTTACACATAATTATAAATGTACATATTAATATATTTACTTACGTATCTTATAAGGGTACGTAACACTTCCACCTCCAAGAAAAAAAATGCAATGGATTGAAGATCAATGGCATTTTTTCCGAAGTAAAAATGTTAAGTAAAAAGAAACATTTCATTTATGGTACATCAAAACTTCTTGACAAAGCATCAGCAATAACATTTTGTCTGCCTGGAATATGTTTGATTTCTACATTAAATTCCTGCAAAAACAATGACCAGCGCAGAATTCGTTGGTTCTTGACTTTCATCA